CAACACCTGGCGCCCAGTCACGCGTTCCAGGTTGCAGCCGGTGCCTCCTCTCCCGCAAACGCTTAACCTGCCCCGGGCGGCGCCCGCTCCAGGGCGCTGCAAGCAGCTTCTCAGCGAGCAGCTCAGCCAGGACGTCCCGTAACGGCCCTTCAGGCTCCTGCCTTTTCTCACCAACCACTCCGGTGGTCCCATCTCCAATCTCATCGTCCTGGGACTTGGACAGCTCGACCATCAGCTTGGCGATCTGATGATCGACGTCCATCATGCTCAGAATGGTGGCCCCGTCGTTGGTCACCGTCACGTCGCCGTCCTTATCCACCATCATCTTATCAAGCCCTGGGAAGGCAGCAGTGTTCAGGATGGCTCTGGGCAAAGACTCAGCGACCGACCCCCAATCCCACCTCCTGACTGCGCTGCCAGCTGTGAGACTATAAACAGAAAATCCAAAACAAGCGAAGATATCCCCGAGACGACACCTCAGAGTCACTAACGTAAAGCAAACCCCGGCAGCTCTGCAACGCCCAGAGCCAGGGAAAACCCTCCAGCATCACTGTGGGGGCAGCTGCGCCAGGAAGCTGCTCCTGCGGGGCGGGGGAGGGATCTGGCCTCAGCGTGCACGGTGCGAGGACTGCACTGAGCTGCACGCGGGCGCGGGGTGGGAGCCGCCCGGCACCCCCAGCCTGCCGCGGGGGCCTGTGCCACACTTGAAAGCAAAGAGCCTCTTACCGTTTGGTCCCAGAGAAGTCCGCATGGTGTTCGCTACAGCCTTTGCCGCCATTATGTGAGACTGCGGGGCCAAGGAGAAAGCAGATGCTCAAGCCAGTGTAGTTCCAGGGGCCTCCGGGCTCCCGGTGCCAGTCTCTGCCCTGAAGGTGCAGCAGCTGAGCCCACGCCCCCGTGCGAACACTCCAACTGCTGGCTACAGTGCGAAGCCCGCTCACTTCTGACAACCACCTGCTCACTGCCCCCGCCCCCACGGTGCCCCCGGGCTCGCGCCCTCCCCTGCAGGAGCCCCAGTTCGGGTGTCCAGCATTTGCACCTGCTTTGGCTCGGTCACCTTGTTTCTTCCACCTGCACTTTGTCTCCTGACTGATTTCACTCAGCACAGCCTCCTGGATCTGACTGTGGCTAGGCCTGCAACACCGTGCAGATAGCCCCTTTGCCTCAGAGTGGCTACTGAGGCGCTATCGCTGGCTCAATGACCTAGTTCAGTGTTTGGGAAACGGCAGTTTCCCACAGGGGCTGGTGCTTCTGACGGAAAAGAACCAGAAGCCCTCTTCCCTCCCGGCTGCTGAGCGCCTCGGAGGCAGGCCCGGACCACGGTGCAGGCGCCCGTCCTGGGACAGTCCACCTCCAGCACAGAGCACCTGGACTCTTCTCTCAGCCGGTACCCGACCCGTGCTCAGGGCCTTCCCTGCCTGTCACGG